GACCCGATGAGCCGTGCGGTTCGGCGAAGCCTCCAGGAAAACCCCAGGGGACGGGGCTCAGAGAACTTTTACAAGAAGCTGGTGAGGCAGGGAGTGCGGTGTTTCCCCGGGTTCTGGAGGCCGCCCCAGAGGACGGCAGGACCCGAGGAGGGGGCCGTGGGGACCTCTGACCCATAGCCGGTCGGTCAGAAGTACAGCCGACAGCCTGGCCTTGCACTTGGCCCCTCCGGTGGGGCGGGGTGGGGGGGTGGGCCGTCTCGTAGGACCGAACCCTTTGCCCGTGGACTCTGACACTCTTTCCGGGTACGTGGGGTCAGAAAGGAGTGGAGGGGCAGGAGAACGGCTGGTGTCTGGAATGGCTCGGGGTGTGGGAACCCCGGCATTTGCTGTAACGGGGTACAGGTCCCTTGCCAGGTAGGCTTTTTAAAACTAATTTCAGGGACGGTCTGTTTTATGAGCTTCAGGTGTCAAATGGTGGGTGGAGGGGCTGGCCAGCTTGGTGGTGGGCACTCCTGACGAAGGGCTGAAGAGGGGGACGGGTGTGGGCTAAGCTGGAGGGCCCAGCTCCTGGGGCTTGTCCATCCAACAGGAGGACAGGGAGGACAGCACAGGGACGCAGGGAGGGAGGGAGGTGAGTGCGAGTCTGATGGGAGGCGGGCCCGGCAGGACCAGGGGAGGGGGAGAGGAGCTTGTGCCGGTGGGGGGGGCCGAGAGAACATGTGCCCCCCACTGCTGCCCACCTGGAAGCTGGCGGCCTCCCGCAGGGCCCCCTGCGCCCAGCTGCTCTGAACCCAGGGTGAGTGCGAGTCCTACAGAGCCAGCCTTCCCTGCGGGCTGTGCTGGGGTCAGAGCATGAGCCGTGGGGGGTGGGGGGCCAGGGTGCGGACACCCCCACTGTGGCTGCAGGGCAGCGGAGTCTGTGCGCGACCCCAGCCCTCCTCCTCGGGGAGGCTTGAAGCCACATCGGCACCAGAGTGCAAAGCCCGGCCTTTCGTTCAGAGGGTGACTCAGGCCAAGGGGGTCTTGTGCCCTCCTGACCTGCAGAGTGGGGGGCCGGGGTCAGGGTGTGCCGTCCGGGGTGGGGCGGCCGTGCCCCCCTTGCCCGGCCCCCCTCCACCTCCCCCCCCTCCCCCCCCCGGCCAGGGCTTCCTCTCTACCCCCTCCCAGCAGAGACACCTTGAGGCTGTAAAGAACACGCTCGTAAAAGGCCTGAAATCCACTTTTAATCGGGGCCCACAGGCAACCAACCGGGCTGAGGACCCGGGGCTGGGCGGGCGCAGGCCCAGGCCTCCCGCCGAAGGCGCTGACAGCTCAATTCCCGTCACAGGCCCTGCCAGCTCCCTGGCTGGGAGGGAAGAAATGACAGGTGCAGCTCGGCTGGGGGCCCTGAGCCACAGCCAGAGGGGGACAGGGCCCTGACGCCGCAGCGGCCAGCGGGAGGGGCGCAGGGAGGCGGGCAGGAGGGCGGGGGCCTCAGGGGTCCTCTGTGGCGGCGCCCGCGCCAGAAAGCAGGGCTCGCCTCTCCGCGTCCTCGCTGTGCGGGGTCCCTGCGGGAGGAAGGACGCTCAGTCAGCCCTCAAGGAGGCCCAGGCCCAGCTTCCGCTGGCAAAATGAACTCCCGATGCGACCCTTCCCCCAAACCTCAGTGCCACCACCAGGGTCCTGGCCCCACTGCTTTCCCCGGTGACGGCAGGGCCTCCCGTGACCTCTCTGCCGACCCTCCGGTCTGTTCTCTTCTGCACGGTAAGTAAGACACCTCGGGGTCCGTCTGTGGCAACCCCACAGTGGCTCTGTCTCCGAGCTAAGGCCACGGGCCCTACAAGGCCCTCAATTGCCGGCTCTGGCCTCCTTTCTGCCACCTTTGTCCCCACCCCTGTCCCCTGTGCTCCTGCCCCAGCCACACTGGCCTCCTTGCCAGGCCTCAAACACGTCAGCTACATTCCCACCTCGGGACCTTTGCACTGGCCGATCCATCCTCCAGATAGCTGCCCGGCTCGCTGCCCCACCCCAACCCTTTGCTTCAGTGTCAGTGTCACCTGTGCAGTGGGGACCCTGACGACAACAGTTTCAACTTGCCCCCACGTGTCTCTCTCTCTCCCCCATTCGCCCACTTGGAGCTTCCCTGCGGCACTGACCACCCCGAACAGTCTCTCTCTTGCGCTTCCTGTCTGGCTCCACCTTCTAGAGCCTCAGCTGCACGAGGGCTTGGACTCCGTGTTTCCCCCTACGTCTGGCACATAGCAGGGGCGTAATGAACGAATGAGCAAATTAAAAAACAAACAAATCAGCCGGCTCAGGGGGCGGCCAGCGCGGCTTGCCCCCGGGAGCCCAGCCCCGCTCCCGGCGTAGGTGATCGGTGTGCAGGACAGGGTACCTGTGCCAGGCGCCCGGGCCCGGGCCTGGTCCCACTCCAGGCGCAGCGCCGTCAGCAGGAAGCAGCCCCCGCCCAGGGCAATGACAAATGCACAGCACAGGAAACTCTGCTGGAGGCTGAGGAAGGCCTGCAGGTAGGAGTCTGGGCGCCCGGCCCTCAGGGTGCTGGACACCTGCAGAGAGAGGCCAGCCTGCAGGTAGGAGTCTGGGCACCCGGCCCTCGGGGTGCTGGACACCCGCAGAGAGAGGCCGGCCTGCCGGCCTTGGTGGATCCCCCCCCCCCCCCCCCCCGCCATGCCCACCGAGGAGCCACCCCTCCCCTCCACCACGCCCACCGAGAAGCCACTCCTCACCAGTCCAGTAAGGTAAGGGCTGCTGGCGTCCCCCAGGATGTGGCCCACTGTGATCTGCAAAGCCTCTGCTGTCCCCCGGCACCTGGGCACCACCACGGACTGCAAAACACAGGACACCAGGGCAGCCCCCAAGCAAGGGCAGAGTGTGGGTGCCTCTGGTCCCCCCCTGCCAAGGACCTGCCTGGAGTGCAGCTGGGCTGGCCGAGCAAGTGGGAAGGACGGGGGTCAGCAAAGCCCCAGCACTAGGACGTCAGGCCCCTCCGAAGGATGGGGGCGGCGAGGCCCCTGATGAGGCCTGCCCTCGAGGGTTTGCTCTCGGACGGGGCAAGGACCAGGCCTGGCTCTGACTCGTGGTGACGGGGCCGGGGTGTCCCAGCTCAGGGCCCAGGAGGCGGGCCGGCCTGGCTGGGAGAGGACGCACGGCCGGGTGTCTGTGTGTGTGGGCGCTGGGTTCAGTGGCACCAAGGGCTCAGCCCCTCTCTCGGGAAGTTCGAGCCCCACTGGGTGGACACACAGTGGCAGACAGCGTGGCTGGAGAGACCCCCGCGACCCCATGGAGGGGGGTGGGGGATTAAGAGCGTGAATTCCGAAGTCAGGAATGTCTGGGTTCCAATCCCACTCGCTGACTGTGTGCCTTCAGGCAAGTCACTGTGCCTTTCTGTGCCTCAGTCTCCCCATCGCCACACGCGGATGATAACTGTAGCTGCTGGAGGGATGTGCTCGTGGCCATTCTTCCTCTGGTACCTGGAGGCTTCATGGGGACGTCAGACTGAAATAGTGCCCTTTGGCCCCAGGAGGCAGAGGGTTTCCAGACACTTGAAGGTGGTGTGGCCTCTGCCTGCCAGGCCCTCCCCGCTCAGGTCCAGCTGGAGCATCTCCACCGGTCCCTCGGGACTGAGCTCCCAGAGGTCAGAGGCCTGCCCTGAGCTCCCACAGCCCCCGAGCGCGCCCCTAACTGAACACACAGCCCCCACGCTGGAAGGTTCCCCCTTCGTCCCCCCCAACACACACCCCTACGTCGTCTGGACGGCAAAGCCGCTGTCGGAGTTCTCTGGAGGTTCCTGGATTACAGCAGGGTGCCAGGCCCAGAGCAGACTACGCGAAAGTCTGCCAAGCAAACGAGTCCAGTAGAACCATCTGGAAGACCAGTCCCAAGACAAACCCAGCCAGAAGCCAGGGTTGCAGCAGGGGAGGGGAGGGGAGGAGCAGGAGGAGGGGTCCAAGCAGAGGCCAGGCGGTCACACAGTCCTAAAGGGGAGCTCCCCACCCCAGAGCCCCATCCCCGACACCTAGCAGAGGATAACAATTAGCATTTATTGAGTGCCTCGTGCATGCATTTTATGCATCTCATGTATACATTTTACAGATCCACTCAACCACCCCACGAGCGAGGTATGATCGTCATCCACGGGTCCCAGATGAGGAAACTCTCCGCAGGAAGGGAAGTAACCTGTCCGCGGTCACCCAGCCAGGAAACAGCAGGACAGGCATTTGAGCCTCCGGGATCTGACCTTTGACCACTTGGCTGTTAGGAGCAGGGAGGAGCCTGTCCAGCAGTGCCTGCTATGGGACACTTGGAAACGCGGAAGGACGAGGAGGGCAAGCTCACGCAGCCCTGCACGTGGGCAACTGGCAGAGAGAGCGGGGAAGGGCGTCCCAGGCGGGAAACAGAGTGAGCAGAGGTGTGAGGCAGGGGCCCAGCGCCTGGAGCCACAGGACGGGCAGGCAGGGCCCAGGCAGCAGGAGTGGGTGACGACTGGCTGCCCCCGGTCACTGACACGGACACTCTGTCCAGGTGGCGAGAGAGGCTGAACCTCTAACCCTGACTGGGACCTGCCGACGGGCCAGAGAAGGAGCTGACCGTGGCTTTGCACCTTCAGGGAGTGCTTCCCCCTTGCCTGTAATTATGTGATGACCCACGGGTGGCTCTGGGGGGACAAGCAGGTGACTCCTAGAGGGTGGGCCCCGCATGTCTGGAAAAGTCCTTGCCGGCTGCCTGGACCCTCAGAGTACGGTCCAGACAGCTGGTCCTTCCCACACCCCCCAGGAGCTGCTGGGCCCAGACCAAGACAGGTCGGTCCCCTGCCCGTTCTAGGTCCTGCTGCCTCCGTGTTGGGGGGGGGGGCCAAAGCTGGCCCTGCCCACAGCTGGAGAGCCCGGCAGGTAATTTTAGACGTTACAGGCTTTGGCTTCCTAAAACTGCTCACTCTATTCTGAGACAAAGCGCCTCTGTTTCTGACTTTCCCTTCTCAGAAGAGCTGTTCCCTTTCCAGCCTGGGACATAACCAGCATCGGCCAAGGGCCCACAGAAAGTCCGAGCGGCAACCATCAGGTGCAAACTCCCTGGCAGCCTGCCTCCTGCATCCCCCCTCGGCCCTCACCCCAGACTCGCTGGGGAGGGTGAGACAGACGGGTGGGCAGAGCAGGGAAGCATTGAGACAAGGGCCCAGAAGAACAGGAGGGAGATAACCCTCGAGGGGGTGGGGGAAATCTGCTGAGGAGGTGGGGGGGTGCGCCTGGCGGCTGGGTTCCAGGACCGCGGAGGAAGAGGCGGGGAGTTCCATTTCTGCTCGACTCCCTGCTGCCAGGGGCAGGTACCCCCGTGGGGCCCACACGGACAGGAGGCTGGGGAGGGAGCCGGAGGTGCCATCAGCAGGGGGAGCTCAGCCTGGGGACGGGGGCGGACACAGGCTGGGCAGACCAGATCCAGGGGAGCAGGACCCTCTGGGCAGGGCGGGGGTGCTGGAGGCGTGTCTGGGGCCAGGGGGTGAGCTTCCCGTCCAGGGGCTTGGGATCAAGGGACCGACTGTGCCAGTCAGAGTCCCGCAGGGGTTCACAGCCTGGGGAGCCGGGCACTCTAGACCAGTGTTCTCCCAGGGTGCTCTGAGGAGCCTATGGGCACCACGGGGGACGTCCGTTAGAAAGGCACAGCCTGGACCCCAGCATGGACCCACTGAACCAGACTCTGAGGACAAAACGTCCCCCACACCTGGTTCTCACGCTCACTGAGGTCTGAGAGCCCCTGGACCACACAGCTGCTGAGGTGTCTTCCCCGGCCTCTGGGTTGTCGTGTACATAAGAGGGTCAGAGAGAGCACCGTCCCTCAGCGGAACTGACGTGGGGCCGGGGAGCCCACACTGACCCCCAGGAACAGGCAGGTGCGGGATGACAGCAGGGATACGGGCCTCCTCGGTCCCGGTCCCCGGGGCCTCCTTGGGCCTCAGGAGCCAGCACCGGCCAGCAGATGGGACCTCCGTGCTCTCCCTGCCCAGAGCTCACCCCGCTGGGCCTGGACCCGTCTCCACCACCCTGCCCTGCCTGCCCCTGGGGGTGCTCCTGTCTCACCTCTGGAAAAGCATCAGCAGCTTCCAGCTACCTTCCAGCTCCCTCCCTCCCTCCCTGCCTTCTCCCCTGCCGTTCCCCCTGCCTCTGTCCCTCCCTCCCACCCCCCCACCTCCCTCCCCTCCTCCCTGCCCTCCAGCCCCTGTCACCACCCATGCCCACGCCTTGCTACACGCACCCTGTCACTCACAGCCTACTCCCCACCTGCATGTGGCCCAAGACCACTCCCTCCCGGAGCCCCTACTTTCCCTGTTGGGGACTGAGCTCCAAAGTCAGCAAAGTTGGCCCAGCTTTGGCCACTGACTGTCTAACGTCAATCCTTCACTAAGGGTTTCAGGAAGGTGGGAAACAGGGAAGGGGTCAGGAAAGTCTCCTGGGGTGCAGAGACTTGCTAAGCTTTGGGGCCGGAGGTCTCCAAGCCAGGGGAGGAACAGAGGGAGCCCCAGGTCACACCTAGCACAGCCCCCAGGCAGCCCCAGCCGGCTCCCAGCAGAGCCCCAGCTGGGTCAAACCAAGGCTGGCTGGCCCTGTCGCCCCTCCCCTGCCCCCAACACACACACACACACACACACACACACACACACACACACACACACACACACACAGTGCCACAAAGAGCCTGGCTCGGCCAGGTTAATCATTCCTGCAAACACAGACACTGGGGTGCCCAGGGCACGGCCCTCACACATCTGCGGCTGCCATGTGGAAAGGGACAGTGCCCTGGGGGGCGGGTCTCAGCTCCACCCGAACGCCCAGATGTCGGGGTGGGGGGTAGTCAGGCTCCCGGTGCCTGAAAGTGGCATTTCTGAAAGTCCTGCCTGAAAGTCAGGCTCCCGGTGCCGAAGAAGACATTTACAAGGGCTTGGCCGCCCCTGCCCCGCTCTGCCTGCCTGGGCCGTGGCGGGGGTGCAGACCATCTAGGCCATGTGTGAGCAGGCCTCGTGGGCTCGTTAAGTGATCGTGCCTCCCCACAGCCCCCTCGAAGTCGCGTGGAGGGCACAGGACTCGAGAAGGCGGGGAGGGCTCTGTGGAGCCCCGGCCAGCATCCTGCCAGAGCTTCCCTCGGTCGCCTCCTTCACCCTCACAGTAACCACGAGTATTTCAGAGTTTTTCACCCCACTGTGCACACGGGGAAACTGAGGCTCGGACACACGGAATGACTTGCCCATGACACACACAGCTAGTAAGCGGCAGGAGTGGGGCTGAAAGCTAGGCCCGGCACCTGGTCACCATAGGACGGCTGTCAACCTGTCGCCAGGCTCCTGGGCTCCCCTGTGCATGGTGTTGGACTATGCCAGGCTTTCAGGGGGCAGGAGGGCTCGTAGGGGTCCCCAGGTCTGGGTCCCACAAGGGCACAGCTCACCAGTGTTCCAAGTGCTCTCGTGATGGCTCCCGGAGGGAGGCAGGGAGGCTGGGCGGAGAGCGTGAGGCTCAGGGACGGCCACGCTGGACTCTGGACGTACTGGAGTCACGTGGTCGGGCCTCACTTTAGCCTGAGCCGGCCCCTGGCCTCGCAGACCGTGACATGGGAGCCGAGGCAGCCTGGACCCACCTGGCTTGTGGCTGTAACCCTGAAGTCCCACATCCCCGTCCACACACCCGGAGCCTGCTTGTGGACAAGTACAGTCAAGAAAGAGGGAGGGGAGGCGTCAAAAAAGCCTAGGCCCCTGTCCTGGCTCGGTGCCTCTGCATGCTGGGCGACTTTGGCCCGGGTACCTGCCTTCTCTGAGCCTCCGTTGGCTCATCTGCAAAATGCAGCCAATGGTCGAAGGATATGTTTGAGAGTGTCAGGAAGGCCCCATCCAAGGAAACTGTCCAATGACTTCAGTCCCCCGCCCCATGGTCTCTGAAGCCCCTCCCAGCTTCCAGGCCACCGGACAGCAGAGACCCAGCCCCACACCTACCAGCAGGATGTCGGCAACCACCGCCCAGTTGCAGGACAGAAGCAGCTCCCCGAGGGCCAGGAGCACCTGTGGACAAGGACCCTGGTCACCGACCCTCCCTGCCTGGTCTCTTCCCGCCTGCAGAGAGAGACCGAGGCCGCACAGAGAAGGGCGCCATCAGATCTGCTGGGGGAGGCGAGGCCTGAGCAGCGTCTTCGGTTCCAGCAGCCTCCAGGGTGGGCAGACATTCCCGTCTGGGCGGGCTGGCGGCCATGACCCAGAGGAGAGCGCCAGGCCCCGGGCCTGGGAACAGCCTGCTCCCTGATGGACGGCCCCCAGGCCCAGCTGCTGAGGTCCCCCGTGGGGCCCCAGGAAGAGGCAGCCAGGACTTCTGGGCCACTTGAAAGCTGGGAAAACAGACTGGAGAGGAGAGAGGCCCAGGGACTGAATAGTTTGCTCACCCCTCCTGTGTTCCCCTGAGGCCTGCATACGCTGATAAGGTACACACAGTGGGCCAGCCCACCTGCCTGGCCCGGGCACCCCATCTGCAGCCCCTCCCAGGCTACCTCCTTCCCAGGCCCCTTGAGCAGCACAGGGGAGGCCAGCAAGGCCGAGCCGGGGGCAGGGCCAAGGTTTCCCAGAGGTCACCGGCTGGCCCAGGGCAAAGCCAGCCTGGAGCGTGACTCCTGGGCCCTGGCCAGCAGCCCACCCCCTTCCCCGATACCTGTGGGGCTGGTTTAACTCTGTGTGCCCCCCTCCCTGCCCCCACTGTCTGCTGGGGACCAGGGGCCACTGTGGGCCTGCCCCACCCAGCAACCTGAGTCCCTGCCTCTGCAGAGGACTGGGACAATCCTCATTCCCCTTGCTCAGGAAGAGTTTAATGAAGCGGCGAGAAGGAGAAAAAAGGCATTTCTCAGAGCTTCCAGGAGCTTATGCTGGAGTGGAATTAGTCATTCCTGGAGTCACGGGGCTGTGCTGGGGCGGCCCAGGCCCTGGTCCCCAAAGGCCCGTGACAGTCAGGGCAGAGGAAGTGAGGGAGCCCGGTCGCCTGTCACGTACCGGGCGCGTCCGCTCTCGCGACATCCACCCACGCCCTCAGCCACTTCGTGTGGCCCATCCCCAGGCCCGCCTCACACATCAAGCCTCCTTCAGGTGAACCCCTCACCCCTGCGCTGGCCCTGGGCAGGTCGAGGCTGGCAGAGGAAGTCGGAGGAAAGGCCAGGATGGGGAGGGCCTGGGGGGAGGTGGCGCTGAGAGCAGGGGGGAGGCAGGATCTGCGGAGGAGCCCCCCAGGGAGGCAAGAAGCTGGGCTGCACCCACCGCCTGGCCTGGCCTCCACCCCGGCCTGGGGAGCTGTGCCGGCAGAGCAGATCCCCCCCTCCCCGGTCCTGGGGCTGGGCCTGGTGGGAATCAGGAAGTCCCGGGGGGCGGGTCCGGGCCGCAGACCCGCATTCCAGCCTCTGACAGTCTTGCCAACCCGGCCTGTGGGGCCACATGAAAGCCCAGGGCGCTCTCACGCCCTCCCCTCTGCTTCTCGGTCTGGGCCTCCACCTGGGAGGCGGTGCCCTCCTCACATCCTGCACCACGGGCCGGCCGTGTCTCTCCCCTGCTCCCCCACAGCCACACGACACACGGAAATACATTCTCCTTCCTCAGGCTGCGGCAGGGTGGATCCCGACCCCAAAATAGAGCCCGCAGAGGGAGGCCGCGGCCGCAGGCCGCCCCGGGATGCCAGGTTTCCTGAGACACACCTGGAAATCCTCGAGGGGCGAAGGCCGGGCCGGGAGAGGCTGGCTTCTTCCTCACCCTGTAATTACCGGCCTCCCCAGGCTCCAGGAGGGCCGGCCCGCCCTGCCCCGCCCTGTCCTGCCCGGCCACCCCGGAGGTCACCGCCCTCTGGGCCTGGGTCTCCCCGGTACCGCGTGGTGAGGGCCCAGGTGCCTCCGGCACCCCCGTCCTGTGCTTCTGTGTCCCCAGCAGGCTGAGTGCAAACTCAGAGCTCAGAGGCTCCCGTGACTACATCAGACCCCGGCTCCACAGGTCAACAACCAGCCCGAAAGGGCCCTGGTTTGAGGCCAAGCCAGCAGGAGGAGGCGCCGGTCATTCAGAGCCCTGCTCCGTGGGCGCCCCAGCCCTGCAGCCCCAGGCACCACCCCGACACCCTCCTGTGCCTCTCAGCGGGCCGAGTCCCCCAGCTCGAGCTGGTTCTCTCCTCCGGCCCCTGTCACCCAGCGTGGCCGAGCCGGCAGGACAGGCCCCAGCACAGACCGGCCCCCAGCAGCTCCCTCTCCTCTGGGAAAGCCTGCTGTACCCGGTCACTCGAGCAGGACACGGGGCCGTGGGGCTCCTGCATCCTCGACGCCCCTCAGCCCTGCCCAGTCCTCCCGTCCTCTCCTCCTCAGCAGTTTCCCAGGCCCCACCATCCCTCCCAACGCCAGCCCTGGAGGGGACTTCCAAAAGGGAAATCGGACCCTGCCCTCGTCCCCTTTGCGCCTGTGCTGGCTTCCCTGCACGCTGACTTAGTTCCCCGGGCGAGAGGGCCTGGGAACGCTGCCCGGAGCCTGAGAAACCAGGAGCCCCTCGGCCTCTGGCCGCTTCCATTTCAGACTCAGGAGGATTTCCCCCTCGAGCTGGGGCAGTGGTGGTGAATGTCCCCAGCCTTAGTCACCCCCGGTCAGAGACGCACGCGCACGCTGTGACACGTGCACACGCACTCACATACACAGACCCACACACGTGCACGCTTACATAGACGCTCGTAACCTGGGACACACACACACTCACCACAAGTACACGCATGTGCCGCGAGCAGGGATGACTCTGGAGGCGACACCACGTGCGGTGAAAGCACCCGCCAAACAGTGGCCTACGCGCTGGGACAGGCGTGCCGGGGTGAACGAGCACGCACACCTGTGTCCTTGCGGTCTCCCGACACGGACAGCAAGTTGTGCACACACACGTGCACGTGCACACAGGCACGCCGACGCCCCCCTGCCCATGCACACACGCGCACGTGGACGTGCACACACAGGTGGGCTCGGGGAAGGAGACGGTGAGGACGGAACAGCAGCCCCGTGGCAGGGAGGGCCGGTGACCGGGCTCTGAGACGCAAAGACTGGATTCTGGGCCTCGCCAGAAAGGGAAGGGAGGAATCCCCGTGGGCTCAGAGGACCGGGGCAGAGCCCAGACGCCATGCTGCCCTTTCTCGGATCAACTCCGTCCGTGCCCAGTGAGCCTGAGCCAGTCGGGACAGGCCCCGGGCACAGACGGGCCTCCAGCAAGCTGCCACGCCGCTGGCACACGTCGCCCCTGGGCCTGCCAACTGGTAATTGCAGGGACTGGCTTCGGGCACGAGGGCACCACTCGGCTCCCCAGGGCTCGCTGCAGCCCAGCGGGCAGGCGAGGCCTCGGAGCTCCGACATCCTCCGGGGTGACTCGGCAGACCGTGGCCTCCCCGGGTGGACGCTGCTTCCCACCCAGCAGGAGATGCCTGCTGGGTCCAGGGACGCGTGGCCCTGAGGGGAAGGGCAGGTGGGCCTCCCCCGGGGGCGCCGGTTACTCCAGCAAAAGGTGCGAGGGGAAAAGGGGAGAGCCCCCAGAACCGGGCTGTCTGCCCAGCACATCTGGCCCCCGCAGGGGCCAGAGAGGAGGTGGCATGGCCACCCCAGAATCCTTAGCTGCCCCTGACCACAGCTATGGTGGGCACACATCCTTGCTGTCCTTGCCCGCCTCCTTGTGGGCCCCCGCCATGGGCGGTGGCGGGGCAGACACGTCTAACCCTGGTCCTTGCTCAGGAATCTCCAAGGCTGGCGAGGGTGGCGCCCACTCCCGGATGTGAAGGCCTTGGTGACAGGAAAGCTGGCTCTCATGGGGCCAGATGATGTAGTTTGGGCTGGAAGGGGCCTTAAACATCATCTGGGGCAACTTCTGCGTAAAGACAGAGAGGGTCAGACTGTGTCACAGACTTTCCTTCCTCCCAAAAGTAAAAAGTAATAACTCAGAAAAAAGTTGTTCTTCCTCAAAGAAAAGAACAAAACCTAAGGAGATCAATGTTCCATACCGGCAGCCAAGGGAAGATACAGACAATCTGGAGCAGAGTATGGAACTTCTCACCTCACCACCCCCCACAAGCCCCCGTATCTAGAGGAAAGTCAGCTGAGTAGGGGGTCCCTTGTTCCCGATCCTGAGAACCAGAGGGGAAGATGCTGGGAGAATCGGGGGAAAGTGGAGAAAAGCAAACAATGACCCAGTTCTGATTCCACTTGAGGCCAATAAGTTAAGTAGAAGGAGGGCCACGCACATGAGGGAGACTTTCCGCACGCCCAGAGGACAGCCAGCCCAGGGAGGCTCACAAAGTCTCCTCGCCGCCCGACAGAGCCCTGCAAGCCTCTCAGGTGACAGAAAACCCAAAGCACAGACTTCAGACTGTAGCCCCTTTGAGGGGAGAATGTCCCCAGGGAAGGCTGGAGAGCGAGGGCAGAGCCACCACGCGGGGTCAGGGCAAGTTCAGCATCGGCGCAGAGCCACCCAGGCCCAGGCCCAGGCTCGGCACAGAAGGAACGAGAGGGAACGAGACGGATCATCGACAGACCCGGCTAGCGCCTTCCCAGCCCACACGCTTGAAGGCATGAGCTGCTGGATGAAAGGGGCCCACGCAGCAAGCAACAGCGGCGAGGGGCTGAGGTCCTCAGCCCGCGATGCCCCCGCATCCGAGTGAAGCCAACAAGCACTCGGTGAGCTGGGGTGGGTCCCTGCCCAGTCGGGCCTTCAGATGAAACCACGGACCCGGCCAACACCCACCGCGGCCTGTGGAGGACCCAGCTGGGCCAGACTGTACACGTGTGTTATCTTGAACTACTACGTTTGGGGATGATTTGCTTCACGACACAGGATAACTAATACACTGGTTGAGCCGTGAATTTCAAGAATAAATAATGAAATCTCCAGGCATCCAGGTGGAAACAGTGAGTCAGCATTCAGGGTTTTTTTGAACGTGAGGCAAACTTTATTCTCCACGGCAATATTTGTGGCCAAAAGACAACAGAGCAAACGCAAAGCTACAGGGAAGTAACACGTGACCCGAGAGT